CGTCCACGTCTGAGGCCATAAATCAGCAGCAGAATCTGATATTTGATAAGGAAAAAGACATTTTTTGGGGGAAAAAATACATTTTACGTGATGCTTTTAACCCTTTAAAGCCTGATCCAAGTATATTAGGAAGAATATTGGATTTTTTTAGTCTAAAAGTCTTTCTTCGGCCCCTCAACAACACATGAAGAAAAAAAAACAGAAATTATTTTGATCCAATTAGCGTGCAATAAGTCAAAAATAGATTTTTGTGTAGTTGTTATCAGGTATATCTGAATGTGTACAACAGGGGTTTGAGCAAAGCTTTTTCCACTGAATGAAGTAAAAAGTCTCAGATCCAAAAGACTTCAGAAACCGTATCAAATATGATACATTTGGCATTATAGGGATAATGTATTCACATTAAATTAATCTCTCATTTTTTGTTTTTGGTTCGCTGTCCCTTTAAGAGGAAAATCTACCAGGAAAGACTGATATCAAATATAATATATGTATAATATAAATATAAAAGATTGGTTCTCAGGAGGAAAAGCCCCCCCCCCCCCCCCTCCACATACATCATACCTTAAATTGCATAAGCATAACACTAAAATGTATCTTTTTTTATCTACTGGTAAATAGACCTTAGCCAAATCCATGTCTGCTCCATAAGAGGTTCAGTTTCTGTTCTTAAGCTTAAATATTTTCCCCGTTAATGTCCTCAGTGAGGTTTCCCGCTTCAGACCTGTTGTTTCCTTCCTGTTAAAGTCGTGTTTGGCTCAAAGTGACCCCTCAGTGACCCCTCAGTGACCCCTTGGTGACCCCGAGACGAAAGAGGACAGGCTGATAAGGGAAACCTGGGAGGGATTGATGGGGGAGAGAGATGGGAAAAGATGGCCGCAGACGAGTGGAAAGAAAGGGAAATGAGCTGTGGGGGGGAGAGGGGGAGGAGGGAGAGGGAGAGAGGAGGGGGGGAGGAGGAATGGAAAGGTTGTGGAAAGAGGAAAGCGGGTGACACAAACAAGTGCTTGAGGGAAAAAGTGGAAAAGGGATAAGATAAAGAAGGGCAGGCCGGAATGTTTGGGAGGAAAACTGGGAACGTTCAGACTCTACAGGAGAGAAAAGAGGATAAACGGAGATTTATACATCATCCATCCATCCATCCATCCATCCATCCATCCATCCATCCATCCATCCATCTGTCATCCAT